AAAGAGGAGGCAGGAGGAGGAGGTAAGAGGAGGCGGGAGGAGGAAGAGGAGGAGGAGGAGAGGAGGAGAGGAAGAGAGGAGGAGGGGGAAGGAGGAAGAGGAAGGTGAGGAGGGGGAGGAGGAAGAGAGGAGGAGGAGGAGGAAGAGGAGAGGAGTGAGGAAGAGGAGGAGGAGAGGGCGAAGAGGAGGAAGGAGGAGAAGAGGAGGGGAGGAGGAAGAGAAAGAGGAGGAGGAGGAGGAAGAGGAGAGAAGAGGAAGAGGAGGGAGGAGGGAGGAAGAGGAGGAGAGGAGGAGGAGAGGAGAGGAGGAGGAGGAGGAGGAAGAGGAAGGAGGAAGGAGGAAGAGGAGGAGGAAGGAGGGGAGGAGGGGAGGAGGAGAGGAGGAGAGGGAGGAGGAAGAGCAAAGGAAGGAAAAGGAGAGGGGGGAGGGAGGAGAGAGGAGGAGGAAGAGGAGGAAGGAGGAAGGAGGAGGAGAGGAGGAGGAGGAGGAGGAGGAGGAGGAGGAGGGAGGAAGGGGGAGGAGGAAGGAAGAGGAGGGGGAGGAGGAAGAGAGGAGGAGAGAAGGAAGAGGAGAAGAGGAGGAGAGGGAGGAGGAAGAGGAGGAGAGGGGAGGGGGAAGAGGAGGAGGAGAGGAGGAGGGAGAGGAGGGGTAGGAGGAAGAGCAGGAAGGGGGAGGAGAGAGCAAAGGAGGGAAAAGCAGTAAGAGGAGGAGGAGGAGAGGTGGAAAGAGTAAGAGGAGGGGAAGAGGAGGAAAGGGAAGACGAAAGAGGAAGAGGGGGGATGTAGATATGCAAATGAGGAAGATGAAATATGCAAGGTCTCCGTCACTAATAATAATATTCCTTTAGAGTCCTTCTGTGGACGGAGGGAAGAGGGGGGGGAGAGAAATGAGGAAGAGGAAGAGGAGGAAGGATACGAAATAATAAGGAAATTAAAGAAAGAGAGAAATGAGGAAGAGGAAAAGAAGGAAAGATACAAAATAATAAGGAAATGAAGGAAAAAGTGAAGTAAAGAGGAAGAGGAAGACGATGAGAGGGCGAGAGAGAGAGAGAAAAAAAATAATGCAATGAAATTTAGCTGGAAGGAATTTGCGAAAATGAAGTGGAAAGAGAACGGCAAAAGATAAAATGCAATAACGACGAAGAGACAAAAGGAAAGAGAGAGAATTAGAAGGGAGTGGATGATGGAGCGATCGCCAAGAAAGCCATGAGATAAAATTGATGAATAAATGGTAAAAAAAAGAAAGAAAAGAAAAACGGATGAACCCAAATCACCCTGATGATTAAAAAGGAGAGAGACGAATAGATGACAAGAGAGAGAGATAGAGGAGAGAGAAATTGAAAGAGAAAGGACACAAAAAGGGTAGAGAGAGACAGGGAGACAAACACACTCAGAAAGAGAGAGAGAAGATGAGAGGGAGATGAGAGAGAGAGAGAGAAGATGAGAGAGAGAGAGAAAGAGAGAGAGAAGGTATGAGAGAAAGGGGGGGGGTAGATAGATAGATAGATAGAGAGAGAGAGGGAGAGCAATAGAAAGATTGAGGGTGTGTGGGGCGAAGGACGCAGTAGCTCAGACAGACAGACAGACTTTCAGACACACACACACATACACGTTATACATCACACTTAAATGAGTCCAGAAATTCCGACCAGGAAGGTGTTTTTAAAAAGTCCAAAATGCCTTTTATTTTATTATTTTTTTCTTTAGCCCTTTACAGCAGGGCCCTAAACGGCGCAGCTCACAAAAGAAAGTTTTAATGAATAATGTTATCGGCGTTTTCCTTACTCTCCTTCGTTCTTTTTCTCTATTTTTCTCTCTCTCTTTCTATTTCCTGTTTTTTTTTTCTCTCTGTTTCATTTCATTCTCTTCTTTCTCTGTCTTTCAGTCTCTCTCTCTCTCTCTCTCTGTCTCTTCACTCTCTCTCTCTCTCTCTCTCTCTCTTCTCTCTCTCTCTCTCTCTCCTCTCTCTCTCTCTCTCTCTCCTCTCTCTCTCTCTCCTCTCTCTCTCCCTCTCCTCTCTCTCGCTCTGTCTCTCTCTCTCTCTCTCTCTCTCTCTCTCTCTCTCTCTCTCTCTCTCTCTCTCTCCTCTTCTCTCTCCTCCTCTCTCTCTCTCCTCCTCTCTCTCTCTCTCTCTCTCTCTCTCTCTCTCTCCTCTCTCTCTCTCTCTCTCTCTCTCTCCTCCCTCCCTCCCTTCCCTCCCTCTCCTCTCTCTCTCGCTTTCTCTCTCTTCCCTCCCTATCTTTTCTCCTATCTATCTATCTTTCATTTTCTTTCTCTCCTTCCCTCTCTTGCTCTCATCATATCTCTTCATCCTATCTCCTCTTTTTATCTATCCCGCCCCTTTTCCCTTCCCTCCCTCCTCCATCTTTTCCTCCTCTCCTCTTGCCCTTCTCCCTGCCTCCTCCTTCCCCCTTTCCCCCTTTTCCCCTTCCCCTTAAAGTTATTCGTTTATTAATCGAGTGAATTTGCTATGAATGGAATCTCTCCTTTGCTTTTGTTGTTATTGTTACGAAACTGACAAGGTTATTGTTCATGCTAGTGCAGTTTATGCTATTCTTATTGTTTTTATTAGTGTTGTTGTTGTTACAACAATAATATAAAATAATGATGATGTTGATGATACTGATAGTAGTAGTCATATAAGAATTATCATAATGATATTGATAATGATTATAATTAATAAATTGATAATGATAATGATAATAATATCAATAATGAATAGTAATAGTTGATAAAATTAATAATAATAATAATATTGATAATAATAATGATAATAATGAATAATAATAATAATAATAATGATAATAAGGATAATAATTATTGATTAATTAAAAAAAAGATAATAATGATAATAATAATAATAAAATTATATCATCATATTATTATTCTTATATTATCAAATATTGTTACTATTTGATCTCCGTGTCCCCCCTTTTTTCCCCGTGTCTTTCTTTCTTCTTCTTCTCTCTTCTTCTTTCTTCTTCTTCTTCTTCTTCTCTCTCTCTCTCTCTCTCTCTCTCTCTCTCTCTCTCTCTCTTCTCTCTCTCTCTCCTCTCTCCTCTCCTCCTCTCCTCTCTCTCTCTCTCTCTCTCTCTCTCTCTCTCTCTCTCTCTCTTCTCTCTCTCTCTCTCTCTCTCTCTCTCTCCCTTTCTCCCTTTTCCCCGTGTCTTTCTTTTCTTCTTTCTTCTCTTCTCTTCTCTCTCTCTCCTCTTCTCCTCTCTCTCTCTCTCCCCCCTTTCTCCCCCGTGTCTCCCTCCAGGGCGATGAGGAATTGCATTTCACTCCCCATTTCCTGCTCTTTCGCTTCGCCACAGAACATGACAAATTCGTGATCGTTAGCTCCCCTCGTGTCCCTCTCTCTCTTTTTCTCCCCTCACTTCTCGGTTCTCCCTCGCCCCCTTCCTCTCCCCCTCCTTCTTGTTCTCTTCCCCTTCTCCTTTTCTCCCTTTTTGTGCCCCAATTCCTTTTCCTACGACACTCGTTGCCTCTTTCTGTTTTTTTTTTTCCTTGTCCTGTTTTTATGTTTTTTCTTTATTTTTTTATTTTCATCTCTTCATTTCCTTGTCTCTTTTCGGTTTTCTTCTTTTCTGTCTTTGCATTTTGTTCCTTTTCATCTCGTCTCTTTATCCCCCCCCCCCCTCCTTTGGGCTCTTGCCTCCTTCCCTCCGTGCCTCTTCCTCTTGCATCCGTCATTTTCCTTCTTTTTTCTTCTCCCTGCTTTCTTCACCCCTTACCTAAAGCTTTTCCAGTTTTCTTTCTTTCGCTCATCATCTTTATCATCACTATCATCATCATCACCATCACTTCACCATCATCACATCACCATCATCACCATCACCATAAATTATCTTTAAAAAAACATAACCCAGACCAACAAAAGGTTCGTAAAAAACAAAATGAATTAATAAGTAAATAAAAATCCTAACACCCAAACCACCTTCTCCCACAGGCTGGTCACCCCCTTCGTCATCGCCCCCGACGTCCTCCTTGTGGTCCTCCTCCAACGGGGGTCTGTGGCGCCTCTCGTCCTCGGGCTACACCTGGATCTCCCCGAACCACACGAAGCAGGAGCGAGAGCAGAGCAGGAGCAGGAGCAGGGAAGCCTCGTCCCTGGAGCAGCCTCACCACCACAGGTTCCGCCACCACCACGACAGGAGGCTGAAGAGGCGCAATCTGGACAACAGGCATGAGCCGAGGTTCACGCACAGCGAGTACCAGCAGAGGTCAGCGAGACATTCCGCCCCAATACGTCTATTCTGCAGGTGAGGGGGGGGGAGAGGAGGAAGGGGGGATGGAGGAGGAAGGGGGAAGGGGGGAAGGGGGGAAAAGGGGAAAGGGGTATGAGGGGGATGGAGGTGGAGGGGAGGAGGGGGAAAAGGGGAGAGAAGGTGATGAAGGGGAGAGGAAGAGAAGGAGGAGGAGGAGGAGGGGGAGAGAAGAAAAGAAGAAGGAGGAGAGGAGGAGGAAGGAGGAAGGAGGAGAGGAGGAGGAGAGGGGAGGAGGGGAGGAAGGAGGAGGAGGAAGTGGAGAGAGAGCGGTGATGAGAAGAGAAGAAGAAGATAGAAGAAAGAAGATAGAAGAAGAAGTAAGACAGAAGAAGAGGCAGGAGAGAGGTAGGAAGAGGAAGATAATGAAGAGTGAATGAAAAGAAAGAAAGGGGGGTAGAGAGGCGACGAGAGAGGAGGAAGAGGGAGTGGTAAACAAAGGAAGTAGGAATTAAGAAAGGGTAAAAAGAAAGGAAGGAAAGGGAATGGAGGAGCAGCAGTAAAGGAGAGAGAGAAAGAGGAGGAGGAAGAAGGGGGAAAGGAGAGGTAGACAGAAATGAGGAGAGAGAGAGACGAAGAGGCACAGTAAGTAAGAGAACCAGAGAAAGAGAGACCACGACAGAGAGAGAGAGAGAGGAAGAGGAGAGAGAGAAGAGGGGAGAGGGATAGATAGATAGATAGATAGATAGATAGAATGATAGAGAAGAGAGAGAAGGAGATGACAGAGAGAGAGAGA